CCCAGCTGCGACTCCGGCTCTGTGCGGGCGCTTGAGATGAGCTTGGCATGTATCCAGGAAATCTGCAAATGATATGTCGTCTATTGACATATTGTCGTCCATGCTCTGCAGCGGCGGGTGACAGTACAAAGTCTCTAGCCAAAGCGTGCTCGAGTTCTAGGATGGCTGTACAAAACCAATTGACTTGATCATGCGGATCTGTGTCCATATTGAAAATGTGAGGATCCCACCAGGTGTCAGGGCTGTCTGAGTTCCAGGCCCAGTGCACGGGGAGCTGTTCCACAATCCAGCGAACAATGAAGGGCACAATGCCCAAGTTGATTGCAACCTGAGGCAATTCCGGAAAGTGAATCGTCCACTTCATGATATCGGTGTACCAAAGCAAGCGACGTTCAAGGTGAAAAGGGATACATCGATCAACGGACGCATGCAATTGATGTCTCAAGGTCACAATCGAATGGCGATCTGTGCCGAGCATGAGACCGCAGCTCCAAGTCTGATGCATCCCTGAGTCGGCAGCGGGATCGAAACGCTGGGCAGAGTGGGTGGCTGGACACAGTCAACCTTGGGATCATAGTATGCATCTCTGACCCAATTCATCAAAAGGACTGGACAGGTGCCTCTGTCAAAATGATTCTTGAGGGCAAATGCCATAGTGAAATTGGCTTTCCAATGCATGCAGCTCAACCGGCCAGGAAACATGTCCAAGCTTGGGCGAAACGGGAACGAGCTGGGCTTGTCGATTTGATGAACAGTTCGAAGATGGCCAGCTACAGCTTTCCGTCCAAGGTGCTCAAGACACAACGGACACTCATGCTCCTGAATGGGAACTGGAATCTCAGTGGTAGTGGACGTCCCTTCTTGGCAACGGGAGGTTCCTCAACGGTCGTGACATGAGCCGTCTGTTGATGGGCCTGCAGGCCGTTCAAACTCAAAAAGCAGGCATGACAGGTGGGGACACTTATGAAGTGCTGCTTGAGGTTTATCTTCTGCTACATGGCCGGTGGCATCTGGCGGGTCTTCTGGCGGGTCAGTATCCCCACCACTCGTACGAGCTCGTTTCGCTGTCGGCTCAGTGTGCGGCGCAGATTGGTGGTCAGGGCCTGAGCTCACGGTCGAGAACCAAGGGCGTGTACGAAGTGGCATGATGGGAAAATGCTCAGAATTCATGACGTGACCGGACATGGCAGCAAGTTGGTACATGACTGCACAAGTGTGCTTCTGGATATCAAGGCTGTTGCACTGACACATGGGACATTGACCTTTTCCAGAGACCAAGTTGGACAGACCGCTCACAAAGTCATACTGCTATTTGGCTGGTCCGGCAATCTCCGGGTGAGAGTCCGTGTAATGCCGCGTCATGGTTCGAGCATGGACTTGCAAATTGCAAAATGCACAGCATGTGGCAAGTTCTGCGCAAAGAGCTCTGTCGAGCATTAGACCCATGAAGGATCGGTGTCTGATGTGCATTCTGAGCTCTTCCCGGGCAACGATGGGCTAAACAGCGGCCTGGGCGGCATCGAAAGCATGACAGGCTCTTTTGTTGATATGATCTCTTAATGCATAGAACGTGGTAAATTGATGCTTGCAATGTCGACACACAGTCCTACCTTCAAAAGAATCTCTTAGAGGTCTTCCGGGAGACACGGAACCTGATGCTGCTGTCTAAGATGTTTCTTTGGCACCCCCACCTGTGCAAAGTGTCTGTGACACTCAGGGCAGGCCAAAGAGGCCTGAGGCATGGGTGGCGGCGGAACATAGGCATGCATGTGACAAGGTGGATATGCCGACTGAGGGTGCAGACATCCTGATGAGGCTCAGCGGGCTCCATCAAACTCTGGATCTTGTTGGCCAGAGTGGTGGTCAGCTTACTGTGGTGATCAGCTATGTGAGTCCAAGGTGGTGGAATTGCAAGTCGAGTGAAGAAGTCCGTGGTGTTCTCATGAGTGAGATGCACAGGTGAATGTGTCACACGTTTATAATGAATGTTGATCATGCTTACAATATGTCGACAACATGAACCAGGCACCCCCATTTCATGAACTCCGTACAACACTGTTGGTATCACACACTATTGATATAAGCAAAATCTGACATGTGCTGGTATGGATTGTGCCTGGAGCCACCACTTGAGGATCGAATAGCAGTGTTGAGTTGCTTTGATTCTATAGCTAATGCTCTATAGCTAATGATCACGCCAAGGTACATTGTTTTGGCCACTAAAGGCGGTCGAAATGGCGTGTCTGGGATCAAAAGCTGGGGACCGTGTTTAGTCCTGCAGATCCAACGGCGAGTGAACTTAGAGACCCCTTTGCCTACAGCCTGAAGAGAACAACACTTTTGGTGGCATTGATGTTGAACCCATAGGAACGAAAGGTGTGCAAAACATGAGCAAGGTCTCCAAGGGCACACTGGCCATCGGTAATGCTGTTCAACGTCCAGCGGAGGTGGACATCGTCGGCATAAACGATCACGTGACCGTGCAGCCATTCATGGGAATACCTTTGAAGGAGTTCCTGCATTATGAGGTACATACAGAGAGTCCAGAGGATGGACGCATCAATTGATCCCTGTTTAATCCCTCGTGATGCATCTATTGTCCCCACCAAGGATTTGAAGGGAATGTGATACTTGTGGGGGACCAGCCAGGTCTGGATCATGTGGAGCACATTAGGTGAGAGGTCGATCTGGTTCAAAGCATGAAGCACGATGTCTCTTCGAACGGTGTCAAATGCCTTTTCCATGTCGAGTGAGACCTGGAGACCACCGTACAGACCTCGAGGACTGGCATCCATTTGCCGGTCACGGCAAAGCTGGCGAATTTGCTGGCAGTGCTGTGAGACTCGAAGGAGACACTCTGTGGTGCCTCGTTGCGGGAGGTATGCATAGAGCGGCAGGCTTCTAAGTGTGGGGTAGGCATGTTGTTTAATGAGGGTGGTTAAAATCTTGGAAATAACTTTGAGAATAGGGTGCTGGAGACAAATGGGCCTCAGTGCAGCAGGCTATGTGCTGGGTTTACCTGGCTTGGGAATCAAGTGCAGCCAGCCTGCAAGCCAGTGACTGGGTGGTGCCACTTGCTCTGCACAACAATGGTGTTCAATGGCAGCATAGATCGGACCCGCAAGCTCCGGTGCAAGATATCGCCAAATGAGGGCGGGCATGCAGGGAGGAGCCAGGGCTTTCATAGCTGGTAAGTCTTGTAGACCCTGCAACACATCGTCCTGGGTAAAAGGAAGGGTTTTGAGTGCTACATTACCAGGGTATTGAAAGGATGCATCTTGAAAAAGTTGGCCAAAGAACTGTTCAATACGTTGGAGTTCCAGGTGGGAATTGAGGGGTTGTTCATGATCATCATACATCTGGATCTTCTGAGGACGTTGCTTAAGACACAACTTGCGGACCTTGCCGTACCAATCATATGTCTGATGGCGCATGGCCAGGTCAGCACCTTCCTGGAGGAAGTCTTCCAGTTTTTGCCTTTTGTTCTGGCGGCTGAATTGGCGAACCTGCTTGTGATATCGTCGAAACAAAGCAAGGTGCTTCCAGGCCGTAAAAAGGGAAACGGTCGACCGATCAGTCAGTGCTCGAACTAGTTTCCTGGCCTGCCACATTCGGGCTGGGATGGATGCAAGTGGGTTGCATTCAACTGGAGTGGAGGTTTGTTTGGGAAACCACGTTTTGCAAAGATCTGTCAATGAGCTCTCAAGGTGATGAAGCAAGGAAGGATCATGGGCAGTGGTCGAATGCATGAGCTGTCTGGCCTCCCAACAAAACCCTTGCCAGCGTTGAGTGTTCTGCTTCATGTCCTGTCGAATACGGTGACGGTCGAATAGGACAATCGTTTCAGGTCGTGGGCCTGGGTACCATTAGGGGATGATCCAAGTCAATGGATGATGATGTGGGCCAAGGAGGCCAAAATTGAAGGCAAAATCATCGAGAAGCTGGGGTTCAACCAAAGGCCAACTAATCTGTGGTTTGCGCATCAATGCAAAATCAATCCTATTGGTGTGAGTGCCGTGCTTGAATGTAGGTTGAAATCGGTCACGGCAGTGGAGTGCCACAAGGTCGAACTGCTGGAGCAGGTTAGATAGTGTCAATTTATCCTTCTGTGTAGCTTGGGAATACTTCGGATCTGCTGTGTGCACTTTATAGGGTATATGATTGAGGGGAGTATTAAAATCACCACAAATCATTAAATGATGTCGTTGAGGCAGGCGTTCAAGACAGTGCTGCAGGAGAGTCCAAATGTGTTGTCGTTTCGAAAGGATCTGACGTGTGCCGTGCTGCAGAGACCAGGCCTGTTGGTAGACGATCACAAAGTCTTGTGGTCTTGGGAGGTTCAAGTGTACCTGAAGCAGGCGGCCACGGGCATGGTGTGCAATCGAAAGTTGGTCCTGTCGAACAAGTGCTGAGCGCACCATAAACAAGATGGATGCAAATCGATCTGCTGAATGCACTATGTGCCAATGCTTGGAGCTCCACTCATTGTTCATGGACCATCCGGATTCCTGAACAGCGATGATGTCGTACGGACTGGTGTCACACCACTGCAACCAGGAATGGTATTCGATCGACCTAGATGCGTTCCATTGAAACATACTCAAGTGTCCCGGTCCAGGAGTGTTCGGGTGTGTGGGCAAGTATGTGTTGCTTGATTCGAAAAGCAATTTGATGGGGATATATTTGCTTACCTTTGAAGGTGGCGTGTCCTTCCCTCAAGGCCCTAGCACAAGCTCTGGTAAATGAGCGCTTCAATCTATTGCAACGTGAGCGTGACTCAACATGGCCGAGGCTCGACGATGCCCATGCCTCATGGCATTTTGCAGGAGTGCCTGAAAGATCTCGTTCAAAGCTGCTCCCACCCATCCCTGAGGCCAGATGGG